GTAAGATGGAAACATATTCCAGTTTCAGTTTAGCATGGTGTTGTGACTTTTTTTATGGAATACAGACAAAAAAATGTTAGACCATGGGTAAGAAAACTAAATAAACCCTATTGAAACGACTCAGAATGGAATGCTGAAGGGCTAAATCAACCCAGAGAAATGTTAGAGCAGGAGTCACAATTAATAAACTAGAATAAGATATCAATAATTGACTGGGCTGCCTTGGAAACTGCCTACATGGCAGCCATTAATATATTGTGTTTCCTGTAGATCAATGCCTGAGCAAAGACAGGAAGGAAGAGACTTGAGGAGAAGTCCAGTGTGGTATGCATACCATCATGGTTTCATCTGATTCCATATGGAACCCAGGAGCTGGAATACCCACTCACTCTAAATCTCTGGTTGGGGCTGTCAGGCTGGCCCTTTACATTCTATGATTGATTAGTCACTGGACTTGGGCTTCCCGCATGAATGAAGAATGACTTGGATGTATGTTTGTCTTCAGGCAACATCTGAAGGAGGCTGACAACCAAGAATGTTTTGTTGCAACCCTCTCAGCAAATAGAAGGAATATCTGGGTAGAATATCACAGGAACTCCTCATGTTCCCATGCACTCAAGAGCTGAGAGGAAAAATAAGATAATGAAAAGAAATGAAACGTATACAAGAAAGAGTCCAGGCTAGAGATAAAAGCTTCAGAAATTACAGCTTGTCTGAAAATAGTAGAAACTGGCCACACATGATAATTCCAAAAAAGAGCATATGAATGACAGGTGTATTGAGGTATATATAAAACCCTGAAAGAAAACAGACATGGTTAACAATACCTTTAAAAGAAGAGCTTAAGATGAACTAACGATAAAGAAATAGCAAGCCTGATAATGTAACAAGAGCAAATAAAGAGAATATCAATAATAAACATTTTCTGTGTGCTTGTTAGAGGACAGATATTTTGCACATATTAGCAAATTTAATCTTTTAAAAAAAATCCCCATGAAATCAGTGGTATTGTGATTATGTTATTTCATAGAACAAAGCCTTAACGAGATTCAAAAGACCACTCAAAATGCATAAATAAAATTTCAAAAGACTAAATTTGTCCACAAACATTTGTTCTTTACTGTTTTCTAAAATAATAATAATAATAATAATAATAATAATAATAATAATGGGTGGTCATCTTCACAGAAAGACACAGAAGGAAAAACTATGGAAGGATTCATTGGCAATTGTAGCTAGGACGTCTAGATTGTCACATTTCCAGTACACTGGGCAATCAGTGATGTTAGGTAGACTCCAATGTGTGGAAGACAAAAATGCAAGTGAAACAAAATACATTATGTTCATATATGACCAGGAATGTGGGTTCAGAATTTAGATATGGATGATACAGATATAGACACAGATACAGATAGATAAAGAAAGTTAAGCCACTTGGGTTGACAGTGCTCTCCACAAGAACAATGGACTAACAAAAACCTCAGTACTTTGCTGGGAAAACTGCCTTTTACATGGTTAGTCAGAATAGTCCAGGTGATTCCCAACACAAATAGATTTTTGATTTAGCCCTAGGTTGCCTCTCAAAGATTAAAAGGAAGCCCCTATTGTTGAAATCACTGCACCCTTAGAACACACCACTTGGGTGATTGGAGTTGGATCTACCCTGAAAGCCTCCTTCCTTTGGTTCAGTTTCCATGATACCATAAAACACTTTGCAACCTGCCAAAGGGAGGAAAAAATGAATAGTCCTACTTAGCTACAACACCTATGAACCACCATGACAAGTGTGACAAGCGACCAAGGAAGGTGCAATAGTGGCACTCACACATTAGTGATAACTAAGAGCTCCCTAATGGACTTAAGGTCCACTCAACAGTAGGGAAATCATGCCTGCTACAAACCTAGCCACCTTCTGGGGACTACTGAGGTCATGGACCTTAGAAAAGAATCTATTAGCCGGGCGGTGGTGGCGCACGCCTTTAATCCCAGCACTCGGGAGGCAGAGCCAGGTGGATCTCTGTGAGTTTGAGGCCAGCCTGGGCTACCAAGTGAGTTCCAGGAAAGGCGCAAAACTACACAGAGAAACCCTGTCTCGAAAAACCAAAAAAAAAAAAAGAAAAGAAAAGAATCTATTACCACCATTTTGCTAGACTGTCATAATTCCCAACTAAAATTTAAATCCTATCTTTACACACACAGACAAGTAGAGCTACCATCCTTCATCAAAGAAGGTTCTCTTCATAACAAGTAGAGAGAGAGACCACCATGGAACACCACAACTGGACATTGCATAGAGAAACAGGTCATGAGAATCCCAGCCCCAATAGACATATACATCACAGCTTCTACATCTATAGTTCAGAGATTCTCATGGAAGAGGGGCCTAAAAGATTTTAGAAGACAGAGTACCAGGAAGTATGCTGTGAAGCAGTCTCTCCTGGAAATGGGTACATAAGCAAGACTGGAACAATGGGAAGTAGACAAGCTAACATGGAAGGGTGATTTCAAGGGTTCCCAACCTCAGACAAAGAATGACTGGAAACTGATTTTTTTTTTGAGAAGGGTAAAATTAGTCTCCCACAGGGATGAGCCTCCTTACTGGTTTTTCAACACAAAGTGTTCAGGCTTGAAACAATACAGAAACAAACAACAAAAGGGTCTCAGCAGGTTGCATTTATATCTATATTTTTAAATACATATACTTGTGTGTCTTTGTGTGTGTGTGTGTGTGTGTGTGTGTGTGTGTGTGTGTGTAATAATAGTTATCAAAGAAAAAGAAACTATCAATTTAATTGTGGTGGGGGACATGGGCCGAGTTGGAGATGGGAAAGAAAACAGGGGGAATGATATAATTCTGTAGCAAGACAATCTAAAATTTTTTTCAAAAGGAAAAAATAAAATGAAAGATCTTTGGATATACTTATTTTCTCAAGGATAACTCAGAGAACAAGAGAGAGCATGGGAGCAATGAAAGAGGGCATGGAGGACAGAACAAGATCCCCAAAGCAGCTGGTAGGTGGTGAGGGCCTTAGCAATTTTGAGAGGAAAGAAATTTCTTCTCCTGAGCAAAGGAAAAGTAAAGGCAGTATGACAATTGTGTTTGACTTTTAAGGACAAAATCCAAAGGCTCTTACATTATTTGTAATTCTCAGATTAGTCTCATATGTAAGACACAACACTGTGTTCTAAGTCAGCACACTCTCCCTAGTATTTACTCCTAAGACGGGCTGAACAGTCTCAGTGGAAAACCAAACAGCTGGAAAAGAACAGCAATCTGGACACTTCCACACCACAGTGAAGACAGAACTGAAAATGTATGGGAACGAGGAAAAGCAGGTGGAACGAGGAAGAAGAGCTGGAGGTTGCAAAACCAGAGTTCTGTTGGCTAATTCCGGCAGGGTGGGAATGGTTAAACTTGTGTGTCAGAACCCAGAACAAAGGGTCCCAAAGCCCTTCTTCCTGACTGCCAACAGGAAGCTGCTACTACTCAGATTATCTCCTTCCTCAATGATTCACACACTGTAGGGAGGGAGTTCTCAGACCACCCATCCTAAACACCCATAGATTCCCGAAGCCTGATAGTGCTGTCCTGTCCACTAATCCTTTGGTCTGTGTTTCACTGGAATAGAAGATCATTTGCACACTACAATATCTCCCAGGGAAAGACTGGCTAACATGTTTACATTTGATTAAAATGATTCCCCTGGGATGCACTAAAGGATTAGAAAGGTTCATGCTCCCTAAGGCCCATAAGGCCCAGGAAAAGGGCAGTCCAGAACAATGAAGTCACACATGACTTCTAAAACAAAATCAATTGAATTTTGCTCTACAACAATTTGAAATAAATGGAGAGGGGGTAGGTAGTTAGTGTAAAATGTCAGATTTATATGAAAGTGTTTGACAACCACATCTCTCCATCCTGCTCTTAAATCATACTAAATGTAGGGAAGAAATGCAGGGAATGAGTCCAAAGCTTACCCCTGGGCTTGCCTCACACCCAAACACTCCAGACCTCACATTCTTTGACTAGTAAATGAAGGATGCAGCTTGTAAACTTCAAATATAGCTTCTAGCTCTGAAAAGTTGTCTATGAGAATTTTGAGTGATATTGCAGCTGAAAGGGCAACTTTTTATTTTTATTTTTTAAAGTGGAATGTAAACTTTCAGCGTCCCTAAATATGATGTATTTCAAGCTGTCATTGAAGAAATATCTAATGAAAGTTTGCATGCTAACCATCTTTCAGCAAGGGGAGAGGTGCCACTTAGCAGCTAATAGAATAATTGCTAGTATATTCCAACAATTATAAGTGGTAATCCTCTTGGTCCCTCCTTCCAGGATCGAAAGAGTAACTGTGAGATTAGGGCTCCTAGTCTTAGCAACAGTCCTGATGTCATGTAAGGAAACCTTTCTCTCTATCCAAAAGTCTTGCTGAAGACATAGTTGATAAACAACATTTGGAAAAGAGACTTTGCACAAGAAGAAGTTAGTGGTCAAAGTCTGGAATGATTTTCTCTCTGAAAAACTGGCAGAGTTTTGGAGTCTTCAAGTTCTGACTTAACCACCTGTATTTATACTTTCATATAAGACTGCTTTTTAGATTAATGTTTTCAGCTCTGTAATTAGCAATGCACAATGGAAGCCTTGGTACTTAATTACAGCATTGCTAAGACAATAATAACATGAGAAATGCTAAAGTTGAAGGCAGTATTTCTTGACACACCTCTGGCTACATTCTTATTGGCTGGGAAAGAATTATATATGCTTAGTGAATAAACCAAACAGAAATGAAGGTGTGTGTGGGGGAACAGTACACATGAATTTACAACAGGTCCTTCAAGTTAAGCCGACTCCAGTCACTGTGGCTGATTAGGACTAACACATCATGGGCAGCAGGAGTGGAGAAGACCAGACACTCCTCTAGACTAGAAGATTCCTTCACCTTCTGCGTCTTGGGCATCTTCTACCCTTCTAGGCTGGACCAGTCTGCAAAAAAGAGACAATGGCTTTTTATCCCCTTCAGATTGCTGGACTGGTTCTTGGGTTCTTCGGCATGGTTGGGACGATTGGCACAACACTTCTGCCTCAGTGGAGAGTATCAGCTTTCGTTGGCAGCAACATTATTATCTTTGAGAGGATCTGGGAAGGGCTTTGGATGAACTGCATCCAGCAAGCGATGGTCACACTACAGTGCAAATTCTATAACTCCATTTTGGCTCTCCCACCAGTATTGGAAGCTGCACGGGCACTCATGTGTGTGGCTATAGCTCTTTCCTTGATTGCTCTCATTATTGGCATCTGCGGCATGAAACAGATCCAGTGCACCGGGTCCAGTGAGAGAGTCAAAGCCTACTTGCTGGGAACCTCAGGAGTCCTCTTTATTCTGACTGGTATCTTCGTTCTGATTCCAGTGTCCTGGACTGCCAATATCATCATTCGGGATTTCTACGACCCAACCATCCACGTCGGTCAGAAGCGAGAGCTTGGAGGAGCGCTCTTCCTTGGCTGGGCGACTGCTGCTGTCCTCTTCATTGCAGGGGGTCTGCTCTGTGGATATTGCTGTTGCAACAGAAAGGAACAGTGGCACAGATATCCAGTCCCACCATACCGTGTGCCACAAAAAGATAACCAAAGGAAGGTGACAGTGCCTAGCAAAACCTCTACCAGCTATGTCTAAGGCTTGCTTTCAACATCAGCCCATGGCTTACGCACACGTGTTTTGTGGTCTTCCCAGAAACTGTGAGTACATCGGGCAAGAGAACTACCTATAGCAGATTTAAATTGAGATGAAACTTTTGATTTTTTTTTTTTTTTTACCTGAAGCAGGAATACAAATGACTTATTTGGACATTCTGTTTTCCTGTGTATTACCTGTGCTCACTCTTGTCGGACTCAATATTTATTCCAATTTATATAGCCCAATATCAAGTATATATTCTCAGTTACTGGCATGTGATGATGGCGAATACTCAATGGAGAGTATAAGTTTTCATTGGCAGCAACATTATTATCTTGAGAGGATCTGGGAAGGGCTTTCGATGAACTGCAACCAGCAAGCTAAGGTCATGCTGCAGTGCAAATTCTATAACTCCATTTTGATTTTGGCTCTCCCACCAGTACTGGAAGCAGCATGTGCTCTCATTTTTGCTTGTCATGTAGTCTGAAAAGAAAACTAAAATTGCAATTGACATCCCTTATCAATAAAATATACACATATTTTCAAAGACAACCTGTTATTTTCACTCCAATTTTTTTATTACATACACAAGTATACAGCTAAGTGGTGATAACTCTAGAGCAATAGTCCTGAAAATTTTATAGATAAAATAATTATTTTGGTTGAACTCATCAAAGGATGTAAGTAACTATTTAATACTTATTTTTAATTTTTCTGGGAAACTCATACTAAAAATTCAACTTTTTTTTTAAGGATAAAGGAGTTCTGGTTTCTCTGTGCAAGATGATTTTCAAAGTCTCCAATTTATGTAGGTTAATCTTTCTTGGACACATTCATTCAAAGAAAATAATGTACAAATGAAAATAATGTACTCTCAAGGTTTATGATTTGTACATTCAAGCAAACAGAATCATCTATCTGGATTAGGTACAGCAATAAGTTAAGACAAGCAAAATTCTTGTTGAAAGGATCCACACCATGATTACAAAAGTTATGTCAGGCATTGAAAGAATGGCTTCAGTCCCTTGTCTTATTTAGTCACCATACAGGTTTAAACATGCAAAGAGAAACGGAGAGACAAGGTAATTATTCAATTAGTCAGGCTGAGATGAATCCTACTTTTTTATTCTCTAATAAAAAATAGTGTTGTCAGTGCATTTTGTTTTGCCTGAAACATATATGTTATTTTCTCAGTTCTTTGTTTCCCATGTGTACCTAACAATATCAAGATTAAAAGTGGTATGGGGGCTTGAGAGGTGAATATGGGTATAAAATGTTTATAAGGGAAAATCCACTCTTGTAGGTGGTTTCTAGTAGCTTTGCTATGCTGTGAATCAATGTTTACATATTCAATATTAATCCTTAAACAGTATATTTATTTTATAATAAAATATTTAACATCCAGTATGTAATTTCACAAAAAGTTTTAATTTGTTCACCAAATATTTCTTGTGTGTTCATATTTATCATAATATAATAAGCTAATAAAATAGCTATGTATTCCAATATTCCAATGATGTTGATTTATTTAGTTATAAGATTAGTTTCAGAATGCATATCAATCCTCAAGATTCAACTCATTAAATGAAACATTAATTTAACAATAACCCAAAGCTAGATCCTGTATGAAACCCTTACTCTATTGTATAGACCAACCCAGTCTTCAATAATTCAAGTCCTCTGACAAAATAAAATTGCATTCAAAACATTAGGAATGTTAAATATGATATGGTACATAATTGTAAGTATTTTCAACAAAAGCTATAAAAGTATAAAACATAGCAGTTCAGTGAGGTTTTCTGATGATTTTCTTTTAGCTGTAGAAACCTAATATGGTTGTATTGAGAAGGAGTCATTTACTTTATGCAGCTGAATAGGTAAGCCATCAAGACAGCAAAGACATATGCTTAAAAGTTTTTAGGCAGTCATTTGTCTTACCTTTTGATTCACCTAGAAATAATTAGCTTCACAAGAATGGGCCCTCAATTCTAAATGAAGTATGTCTTTTGGCTGACCAGTGGGTCCAAGAGTACAAAGTACAATTGTGGGTGGAGTCACAGATAGCATTAGTTATATCAAATATGATGCAAAAACTTGCCGACAGTTTGTTGCCTAGTTTTCCACTAATCAAGGTGTACTTGATTAATTTTATATCCTACAATGGGTGACAGCATTTTCTCTAATACAACAAAATGAATTTACTAATTCTCAACAAATTCCAAGACACGTTATAAATGCGAATCTCCTATCACAAACCCAGGTTATACAAAAAACTGCTTCTGTTCCCTAAGATTTGACTGAAATTCAACTTTGTGGGAACTTTCTCAGGTATTCACAGTTCATGTGAATCAATGCAGGGAATTTTGTCATTGCTAATATGCAAAATTCAGTAACTCTACACTATTACTAGGTCTAGCCTTAATAAATATTTGAGGATTGATTCAGAAACAATGTTCAAACTGTATAATAGTCATAGGTTTTAACCAATATGCATCCTTTCTTCCTCCAGGGAAGAGATAAAGCATAAGAACTCATGAAATGTAAAGACAGTTATTATTTTCAGTCTGAATATATGAATTCTGAAGTGACTCTGAGTAAAGAGTAGCATGAGCTCAGTGAAGCCAATATTTCCTCAAACTTGAAATTATGGAGTGATTTCCTAAGATGAAAGTAAAACAAAAGAGGAGAGTTAAGAGGCACTAAATATCATTGACTCTCAAGCATGCATGTGTGGGGAGAGCGCCCTTTTTTCTATCTCAGTACTTGAGGACAGGGACTCAGGAAAATGATAAACTCTTGGGTGGATTTAAAAGTCCAAGGACAGCTGGACTACAAAGTGAGTTCCAGGAAAGACACAAAGCTACACAGAGAAACCCTGTCTCAAAAAAACTGGAAGAAAAAAAGAAAAAAAGAAAAAATGAAAGAATCCAAGGACAGACAGAGCTATGTCCTGAATTACATGTTAGGGGGTTATGGATGGATTTCCAGCAATCCTTGAAGGATACTGGGAGATAAGAAGAGATAAGAGGCATCTAAATGATATGTTTAGTCTGACAGGTAAATAAAGGAAATCTTGCCTAGTTTTCTACAACTAAAACACCATGAGAGTGAAGAATATGACCCTCTACATGCACACACGCACACACACACACACACACACACACACACACACACACACACAAGTGCCAGTCTTATCTGCCTCAGAGCTTTGCCTGTCAGGACTGAGGGAGTCAGTAGTGATGTATGGCATAGGCACATAGTCATTTGTCCTTAGAGAAGTCCCTTGTATCTTTGTCTTTCCACCAAGACCAGTCTCTTGATCTTTGTCACACAGAGTTTGATGCCAAGCAGGTTGTGGCACCGTCTTTCTGGGTGCAGGGACGTCAAATGCAACAAATTACCAAGCATGGGAGGGGTTGGAGGTGGAAAGGGCAAGGGAAAATGATATAAGTTTATTAAAATTTTTAAAAATAAAAATCATTATTTTAAAAAATGTAAATATTAAAACTAGCTAAATGTTGGATCTTCTCTATACTATTTTCATTTGGTGAATTTCTAAACAATGCCAGCTATAAAAACTGTTGCTTAAATAGAAAAAAAAATCACTCAATTTTCTCAATGACCCCATTGCTAAAATCAGATAGGTAAGTAGTATGCAATATGTGACTGAACTATGTCTTTCCTATCACTTCTCATGCTGAAGTGCTAATGTCCATCCCCTCAGGATGACTGTATTTGGAGGCAGAGTCATTATGAGGTAATTGAAGTTATTAGGATAAATAGTCAGCTAATGTTACCAGTGTTCACATCAGAAGAAATGTGGGTTCAGTTTGGTACAGGAGACAGAAAATAGCTCTTGGCAAGTTGAATGAGAGACTGGGATCCAGTTCCTCCTTCAGTTTTCAAAACTGTGAGAAAATATATTTCTGTTTTTAAGTGACCTAGTCTGTGATATGCCATCATTATTGAACTTAGATAGAAAGGTAAATAAGTGATAGCCAAATAGTTGTATAAATTGACATATAGATAAAGTAATGGTGACAGGTAGATGATCAGATAATTAAATGTCTGATGGACATATATTGAAAAAATAGGCAATTGGTAGATGGTATAATAATGGGTCATAGATGATCAGATGATTAGATGGTAAACAGGAAAATGACAGACAAGCAGAGTAGATGGTAAATTGGTAGGTAGGTAGATAGATTATAAATGAAAGAAATGGTAGGTGAATGATAGATAAATGATTAATAGGAAAAATGTTAGAAGATAGATGATAGATAGATAGATAGATAGATAGATAGATAGATAGATAGATGATAGGTTGATATACAATGGAAGATGGAGATAGTAGATGAATAAATAGATAAAATAGAAGACAGATAAATAAGTGACAGATAAATGATATTCATATACAGATGATAGCTATATAGATGGTAGATATAGACATAGGTTATAGAAAAGAGAAGACATGAAAGAGAGATAAATAATGGACAGATGGAGAAATATGTATTATTTATGTTGTATATTCCTAGCATATATAGATGCTTTTATTTTTATTGAAAATTCACACAGTATGTTCTGATCTGGTTTCCTGTCCCCCATCTCCTCCCAGATCTTTCCCACATCCTACCCATCCAACTCCACATCTTCCTTCTCCCCCTTTTTAGATAACAAGAAGGCAAATTAAGACAAACAAGAACATATTTTAAAAAAGAAAATCACAAGAAACTTGCATATCAGAGAGATACACTTACAAAATCATAAAAACAAAAAGTCTGATACTGTAATATACAAGCAAAAGACAAGTAATATTTTTTTTAAATGTCCAAACAAAGCAATATGAGAAGAAAAAAAGTCTGCAATAGTATCTTGTTTTGTGTTGGCTCTCTACTGGTGTTCATGGGGACTACGTTAAGTGTGGTTAATGTACTTGATGAGACCCTATTGGAAAAAAAACGTGACTTTTCCTTTGCAAATGGTTTTCCTTTAGGGATAGC